AGTTACCTTTAATAGAGGACGCAGCGCTGCATCCAGAAGACAGAGATGTGGCCGAGGAGAGGAAGAGGGTACTGGAGTGTCAGCCAATCGTGGAATCTATGGTCGGCAGCCCCCTCATAGTGACGGAGCTCAGTAAGGTGTGTAAGGCCGTGTGGACACACACAGGATGGATCTTAATCCTACCAGGACACTGAAGCTGTCTCTTTTCTCCTCAGGTGTACAGCAGCGGGACAGATCTCCTGGCTGTGGACAGGCTGTCTCTGGCTGTAGGCAAAGGTGAATGTTTTGGACTCCTGGGCTTCAACGGAGCTGGAAAGACCACGACCTTTAAGATGCTGACGGGTGATGAGAGCGTTACCTCCGGGGACGCCTTTATCGATGGATACAGCATCTTGAGGGACATTAAGAAGGTACAAAGCAGATGAACGGTTTCAAAAGTCTACTCTGTTTAAGACGCCTATCCTCAGTGTCCTGCTCATCTGAAAACAAACCTTTATCTCTGCTCTGCAGGTGCAGCAGCGTATCGGTTACTGTCCCCAGTTTGATGCTGTGCTGGATCACATGACAGGGAGGGAGACTCTGTGTATGTACGCCAGGCTCAGAGGGATACCAGAGAAGTATGTTGTGGGCTGTGTGGAGAACGTCCTCAGGTCCCTGCTGCTGGAGCCTCATGCTGACAAACTGGTCCGCAGCTACAGGTCAGTGATGATGGAGAGATGCTGTACCATGACTGGGGCCACACAGCACCCATAACACTGGACCATCCTCTATTCTGTCCAACCAAAAATCTTTTTTATGATCATGCAGTGGCGGTAACAAACGGAAGCTGAGTGCAGGCATGGCTCTGATTGGTGGACCTCCGGTCATCTTCCTGGATGAGCCCTCCACTGGGATGGACCCTGTGGCCCGCAGGCTGCTGTGGGATTCTGTAACACGTACACGGGAGTCTGGAAAGGCCATAATCATCACCTCTCACAGGTGATCAGAGCAGTGAACAGAATTAAAACAGAAATAAAACATCTTGCTAGAATGCTATTTGGCTTAATTCTTAAGCTAATTTCTTTTATTATTTTTTGGTGAACACTTTTGGATGAACAGCTTTTACTAAGAGTTAAATGTAATTTACTAACTACTAATCAACTTTCAACAATTTTCTGTTGTATATATTAATTTATTTCTCTTATGCTTTTGTTCTTTTAAAACATTTTCAAAGGCTTCAAAAACATTAAACATGTAAACAATGTTTGTTCACCAGTATGGAGGAGTGTGAGGCTCTCTGTACAAGGCTGGCAGTGATGGTCAGTGGTCAGATCAAATGTCTGGGGAGTCCACAGCACCTGAAGAGCAAGTTTGGCAGCGGCTACACACTGCTGGCCAAGGTACACGTGGAGATGGAGCTGGAGGACAGTGACCTGCAGCTGTTCAAAGACTTCATTGAGAGCACGTTTCCAGGTCAGAGACAGAGACACTGCTCCACACATTCACTTATGTAGGAATCAACATTTGAAGGTTAAGTCACAGTGGGTGAAACGTCTGCCTTCAAAAGGAAAGGCAATTTTACAATTTTAGAGCTGATTTAAACAGACAACATTTGCTCTCACCATAGGAAGTCAACTGAAGGACGAACACCAGGGGATGGTTCACTATCACCTGACCGACAAAACGCTGACCTGGGCCCAGGTAATGCAACTGAGCTGTCTGTATTTAAACAAACAAAACAAAAAACAAAAACAAAAAAAAAAGAAGGCCTAAGCCAGTGCTGTTGCGTGATTGCCCTCTACTGGACAAAATATCCAGCTTCTATTTTGTTTAAAAGAGATTTATGGTTTAATGTAGCGTTTGGAACTCAAAATCCTCCATGTTCTCCACTTCAACACAGGTGTTTGGTACTCTGGAAGCAGCCAAGGAGAAATACCACATTGAAGACTACTGTGTGAGTCAGATATCGCTGGAGCAGGTGTTCCTCAGCTTCGCCCAGTTCCAGCACTGTGGGAGAAAATAGGTGGAGCCAGAAGTCTGTCCATTCAAACATCCATTTTTTACTGTGTGTGTGTGTGTGTGTGAGTGAGTGTGTGTGAGAGTGAAAGAGACCTGCGGACATGGACCTGTTAATGTTACACTGCACTTATTTAAACAGGATGGAGCACCTGGTGATTTCTCTGTGGCCTATTTCTATCCAGGACCAACAATGAACACAACACAACACACACACACACACATACACACACACAGACGCTTGGCTAAAGTCACACCTCCACCTCAGTGCTCTGAATCCTGTTGATTTGTCTGTTGATGAGGAACTCTTGGATAGCAACATGTAGGCGATGTTGTTCATCACCGCACCTCTTCAATGATGTCACAGACGACGACAACAACGACTGTGTTCATCAGACGTGACCACTCCTCCGAGCCGCCACTTAAATTCTACGTGTGTACAGTTTTTTATTTATAATTGTTATGAGTTGATTCAGTTTCCGATGACATGATGTTTGGTTTCGGTGATCGGCCGTCCACCAGCGTGTGACGTGCTCTATTTTTTTTTTTTTTTTGTTGATGAAATCTTTGCACACCTCGGCGCCTTATAGACCTAATGAGGGTTTGTTTGTTTTTAAAAATGTTCGTCACAGAATGTTATTTTCAGATGTAAATAATGCAGCTGCTCTCTGGTACTAAAATTACCTAACCGTCCAGACCAGAGCAGGACTTTTAAAGTTTGAACTAAAGGATTTTATATGTCATTAATTAATGCATGCAAAAAAAAATGTACTGAGAGCATGATGATGATGATGATGATGATGATGATGATGATGATGATGATGTAAATGAACTCTGGGAGGCAGTCTTCTCTGCTGAGGATGAATCCTCAGTATCCACTTTAGCAGTCTGACTCATATACGGGAGTCTAAACCTCAAACTCGACCAAGTAGCCCAACGTGTGAAGCATCACCACAAGTAATGATTAGCTGAGGAAGGTAAAGTGCTGCAATTGACCTTTTAAGACTTTTACCAACTGGATCACTGACACCTCCGGTGGACAAGCGACTTTAGGCTACTTCTTTTTTTTTTTTATATGATTATGTGATTCAGCCTAAATTCAGCGTTAATCTTATAACCCAATTTAAAGGAAAAGAAATGATCAAATCAAAGCCTGGTGAAGCAACATATAAATAGACACTGAGTTGTGAATGAATCACAAACCGACTTTGCCTGCGTCCAGTCTTGGTCATCACAGTGCTGCTGTCAATCACAGGCAGTGTCCACTCTAAATGCCATTTAAATAGCAAATTTGAGATCATGTTGTGTTGGCAGCAGCTGATTGGCTAATCATGATGTAATAAGTTACCGGTAGATAAGGAGTAGCCTGATTCTCCATAGATTTCTATTTATATCCAGGTTATTTCCTAGCCAGTGGAGCAGCCCATATGTCCATGTCTGTGGCTCCAGTCTGTAAAGTATGCATCCAATATGAACCGATGATGGTTATTGTGCTGCCAAAAACAATAATGATCCACACAGTTTTAATCCAGCCTTCACAGTCTGTGTGAACCAAATGGCAGGAGATTCTTTTGGTGCTCCAGCAGTAAAAAAAAAAACTACTCGACTTCAAACTGTACAAGACTTTAAGGTCTTAATCTAATCTCATGTTTTCTTGCTGCTATGCATATGTTACAGTCACATATATGAGTGTATTTGTATAAGTGTGATCTTTTTTTCCCCCCTGAATTCATTTTCTATCCAAAAAAAAGTATATATGAATACGATTGTTATCGTGAAGTGGACATGCGTTAATGCTGTGTTCGATTTATTGAAGGGCTGCTGCTTTGGGATCTGTGTGTTGTACAGTTAAGGTTGTGAACCAGGTTCTCTTCACACTGTTGATGCCTTACCTGGAAAAGGATTATGGGTACAGTGCTTTATTTTCTTCACTTTTGTTTAGAATGTGCACCAATAACACAACCCCGAAAGCCTGTACTTTTAAAAAACTATGTCAAAGATGCGTGCACTATATGTAGGATTATAACAATATAATTGTCACAGAACAATGAAGTGAAATACTGTATTAATTGCTACTTGTTATTTGCTTTAAGGATCCATGATATTATCTGATGAAAACAAACAAATCAAATCCTGTTTTCTTTGAAAATCAAATCAGTCAGATGATGAATGTATTTGCCGTCTCACAGAAAAGCAGACACAGTAATCAATGTTATTACTACTAAGAAATGACTTCAGCACTTTCTCCCATGAACTGGTGTGTGTAGTGAAAATGTAGACTGACATTCCAGAAAGACTTGGATATGTGGCTTGTTCGCTTTTAATTTCTTATATTTGTTTTAACTTTGTTGGTGTATCTGCACAGTTCATGTCATAACGCTCGACTCACGTCAACTGCGATGTCGTAAACTGTATGTAACTAGAGATAAATGGACAGGTTTGCACTTCTGACACTGAGGAACTGAGTTCTGCTGAGAAACCAACAGTGTATCATATATATACAAGGGGAATTTACTTTACTGTATTTGTGTACAATGACACCGCTTGTCTAATGTGTGTGTATGTCTGTGTGTGTGTGTGTGTATGTGTCGCTTTTCTTTTTAAATTAAAACAATGCTGTTTGCAAAAGGAAGTGGTTGTGACTGACGTATCTATTTTAAACATTTACAGGAGAGCCTGAACCCACACCTGTGCCAAGGTTTTGTGGATTCCTTTGTGGTTTGCAAAACTAAGCATGAGGTAAAAGATGTCTCCATGAGTGTAGAAAGCTGCTTTATCAAATTCCACAGAGTAAATGACTTCTTCATCAAATAAAAGGCATCTAGGCAAACAAATCATTACCAGAGATAATCTCCAGCTGTCAGTTGTCAACATGTTCACTGCTGGCACCGACAGCACCACTTCCACTCTAAGCTTTGGTTTACTGCTCATGGCCAAGTATCCTGAAGTTCAAGGTAAGGAACAATCAATGAGACTCAATTACTAGAAGAGATGTCCTTCAGATATTGTACATTGGTTTAATACTTTTTTGATCACAAAAATACCACAAGGAATTGACGTTTCTTTATTGAATCAGAGCACTCACGGTGTTGTCAGACAGACATGCTCATTCATACTAGTTTAAGTGGTAGTGTTATCTTTCACAAAGTTGAAATGTCAAAAAGTAGTTGCTTAAAAAATGTTTTTCACAAAAGTGTATTTGGTATTTTTTTCTTTTCATTTTTTTTGCCATTGCTGTAACAAAATGATCATCACAAATCACGTTAATCCTTTACTTCTATTGCAAAATAAATAATGAATAGTTAAAATTAAATGCAAAAGCTACATTTGTGTTTATGGTCAACAGCTTCATGGTCCTTCTGCTTTAATGGCGTTGGTTAGCTGCTGCCCTCCTGTGTGGTTAAATGTCAACCCCACCTGCATGGAGCCACTACAGTCTTGAAGTGTCTGTGTGGCTGAACAGCTGCTTTGGTAATCTGCCGTCTTGTCCTCGGACATTCTGAAACTCTGAGGGTGTGACTGGTCATACGAGGGGACGTACGACTGCACGCAGGAGTGCATCAGTGTTTGTTCTCCGTACGCAGCTACGTAAGCTTGGCTTTGAGGTTGAGTGTGAGTGAGAGGAAAGGTCTTCGATTTGCTACATGGTGAAAATCCATTCATGCTCAAAGGGCTCTGTCTGGGAAGTTTGAACGCTTCGACACTTTGTAAACTGTCCACAGAGTTGTAACCTGCCTCGGTTTGGCTGCACGCTGTGTAGGTGCCTTGACTAAAGTTGAAGTCGCCTTGGTTGAAGGTGGTGGATGTTGAAGTTGTTGGCAAAGCAGAGGGTGATAGGGTTTTGTTGTGCTCCGTCTGAGAACTGCTGCTCTGCCCCACTTTGGTGGACAGCCCCTGCAGAGTGCTGAGAATCTGCTTCTGAAGGTGTGTCTGCTCTGCCTGCTCCCTCTCCAGGCGATGCTGCTGCTCCACAAGCATCTTCACTGCCAGGGCCAAGCTACGTACCTCAGAACCCAGTGTCTGAATCTGATCCTGCAGCCCTCCTCTTACTACCATGTCCTGGCCTGTCTGTGGAGGGCCTTGGTTCTTCTCACTATGTGTAGCACCTTGGCATCCAACAGTCTGTAAGCGAGCGATAGCACCTGCTGGTGCTGCAGGTGGTGAAGGTACTGGTGGCCGATTAGAAAGACGAACGCCAACCCGAGGAGGAGTGTAGGGAGAACGGAGAACCAGACCTGGTCTCTGTGTGAGAAAACGTTTGGGAGCTGTTCCCTCTCCACGTTGATTCTCCATGACAGTCTTGACAACATTGAAGTTGTAAACAGGAAGGTGAAAAGAAGAAAACATTTTAATCACTTGTCCACACAAGCCTGATAAAGCAGAATTTTGATTGAATTGGCGTTTATGGACATGCAGTTTTTAATCAAAAAATGTTTCTCCTTTCTCACCTTTTCAGTGGTCAGGTCATATGTATCAGTCCTCTGAGGCACTGCATTCCTCACACTAGAATCTTGGACACTAAAGTGATCTTTTCTCAACCACGATGCCCCTTTAGTAATTGAGTGCTAAAAAAAGGAGATAAGGTTGAGACAAAAGACACAGCTTTGTGACACAAAATACGTATAACACAGTTGAATACCTTCATTCTGTGCGACAGAGCTTTATCCAAAAGCCTCTTCCGTGCTGCCCATATTGAATTAGTCGCTGGGGAAGCTGTGACTTTTCTTCTCATGAATGCTTCAGAGGATGTTGAAGTGGAAGTCCCAGTGCACGACTCAGCCTCACCAACAGAAGACTGGGGGGCGTTTTGACTGGGGTTGTTTTGTGCAAGAGATGTGACGCTAACAATCTGAATAGAATTTTCCTCCTTGTCTCCCTCGTGCTGCTGTTCCGTCCTGCTGCCCCTACTGACCTCTTCATTCCCAGGCGGCTTCGTACAGGTCTCTGGGTTTAAGGAAGGCTGTTTGGTAACTTCTAATGAAGCTGTAAGGCCAAAGTGATGAGCTTTTTCATGGAAGAGGTTTTTGTGACGGACATTATTCCAGTTCACTTGTATTTGTCCAGCTCCACCCTGTAGCTGTGCTATTGTTGTGCTACCTCTAGCCGCCACTGGTCTCACCCTCCCTGTTGGGCCTCCTTGAAGCTCTCTCAAGTACAGGTAAATGGCCTGGGCAGAAACCTCAATGTTGTCCAGCTCCAGCACAGCTTTAATCTTTCTGAAACTCAGACCTGTTTTGCGCAATTCCACCACTTTCCGTTTGGCAGCATCATCCAGTCGACCCATGTTCCCTCCAAGCAGAGCAGCTCTGTGATTTTTCTGTTAGGCTACAGAAGATTGCAGGAAGAGAAGATTAATGATAAATTCACAATGATCAAAAAGTTGATCTAAATAAATAATGTTATTTTTTATAATTAATATTTTATTATACTATTACATTTTCTGATTAAATAAGATAAAAAACATTGAATTGAAAGTATTGACTTCTTTGAGAATAGTACATTTTAATTCTAACTTTAGCACTAATCATGTGTCTAAGAGAACAATAATCTTTCGAAAACATTTGGTACGTTTAAAGACTGTTTCCTATCATACATAACAAATATTAGTCAAGGGGCTAACAGCTACGGCTAACACTAGGATCCTTACAAAATAAAGCGTACACAGGTCAAGAAGCAATACCGGGTACTGTAGTTAATTTAGCTCCCTTAAAACGTTGATGCATTTTCCCGTGCAGCTAATTTGCAAAAAAAAGCAAGCTAACGTAAATATTTAACTCTCTCAACGTCAACGTAAAGGAATATCCTGAGACAGATAGGTCACTTCCGCTCTGACGTCAACACAGAGCGACGATCTTTCTGCAGCGAGCGGAATTAGCAAGCGCGTCCACCTTGTTCAAGAGAAATGTACGTATGTTTTTTAATTTGTTGTGGTACCTGCTATAGCTGTCTAGTTTTATTTTATTTATACAATAAAGAGTGGTTTGTGCTAGTGTGCATCATCACACTTCATTTAGACACAGGGTAATTTTCAAAATCGCGGTAGTTTCCTGCTCCTTGTTTCTTGTTTTGAATGGAAGTCAATGACTTAAAACATTTCCACGATTTAATTCGAGAAGTGATCCTAACATTTACTATTATGTTTAATTATAACTTAAATATAAATCATTAACGTTTATTCTAAGTCTACTCTAAGATATTGTTATTACATTTTACTTAATAAACATTACACTTTATAATGACGTCACCTTGCTGAATTTAGGGCACCCTCACCCACAAAGCGAAAGGAGGAGGAAAAACAAAAGGACAGAACCAAAGAAAAGAGTGGAACTAAAGATGGAGATAAGGAGAGGGGAAGAAATAAAGTGAGGAAACGTCGTGGTGGATCCTCTGGTAGTAGCAGCAGCAGGTTTGTCATATGATCCTCTTTGATATGAATTATTTTAGTGATTCACTTTGCTTAAATATGTTTTCATTTTCGACAGATCTCGCTCGAGTTCTACTTCAAGCAGCAGTTCTGGCTCTAGCTCAGGCTCCTCAAGTGGGTCTAGCTCCTCTGGTTCTAGTCGATCTGGTTCCTCAAGCTCTCGCTCCTCCTCATCCTCAAGCTCCTCAGGTTCTCCGAGTCCCGGCCGCAGACGCCATACCAACAGGCGTCGTTCACCCTCAAAGTAAGTCCCTTAATACCAGACAGTATTATTGCAGAAGTCACAGGGTGCTTTATTAATTTGATATTTGTTTGAAAATATGCAGTTCCAAAACTGAGAAGAAGGGAGATGATAAGGAACGAAGAAAAAGAAGTGCAAGCCCTAAACCAACCAAGGTTCATGTGGGACGGCTCACTAGAAATGTGACCAAGGTAATAAAAACAAATGATGGCCTCACCCCAGTTCAGTCTAATTATTCTGGTCTGAAAAGATACTGAACCATTTAACATTTTATTTTGCTAATTTTGATGAAACATTGTTTTTTTCACAGGACCACATACAAGAGATCGTGAAACGTGTTTTTCACAGGACCACATACAAGAGATCTTTTCAACGTATGGGAAAATAAAAATGGTTGACATGCCAGTTGACAGGATGTACCCACACATGACCCGAGGCTACGCTTACGTGGAGTTTGAAACTCCGGAAGAGGCGGAGAAAGCCCTCAAACACATGGATGGGGGTGAGCCAGTCTGTTTCTGTAGCTCTGCCTCAAATGATTACTCTGCACTGTGTGTCATGTAACATCTACGACCTTCGTGTCATTCATAGGTCAAATTGATGGACAGGAAATCTCCGCATCTGCCGTGCTGACTCAGCGAGTCCGTCCTCTGCCTCGCAGGCTGTCTCCCCCACGTAGAATGCCCCCACCTCCACCGATGTGGCGACGAAGTCCCCCACGCATGAGAAGAAGGTAAATTCACCAAACACTGATATATTCTTTTTCCTTATTTTTTGTGCTGACCCCATTTGTTTTTTAAACATGAATGTCCACTGTGTCATCAAAGGTCTCGCTCCCCCAGAAGACGGTCCCCAGTTCGTCGACGCTCTCGTTCCAGATCTCCTGGTCGCAGGCGTCATCGTTCTCGTTCCAGCTCTAACTCCTCTAGATAAATTGAGCAGAAAAGATAAAAAGTGATCACTCAGATGTTCCAACACCAGGTCACCTGGACTTACTGCTTCGACAGATGTCTAGAAGACCCCTGGTGTGAATTTAAAATCTTGATTTGTGTCCAACATAAGTTTTTGTGCTTGATGTAGGATGTGTATTTTTTATTTTTATGTTTCTCTCCATATTTTTTGGTATCAATTTAGCTTTGCTTGGTGTTAATTACAGTTTGATTTCTTTAAAGTGTCTTATTTTTAACCATGTACTGACTTTTTGACCAATAAAAGGTGTGGAAAACTCTGTGTATTGACAGTCAACAGTTGCAACAGACAGCCAACCAAATTTCACTGAAACGTTTAAATAAATCAGTGAATTATTTATGTTAAAATTGAGTGAATAAAATTAGCATTTCGACCATGTAAAAATATTTTTATTAGCTTTCTCGATGTGACAATTTAAATTTATTTCTGGGTATGGATTTTTAGAACTTTAGAACTAGCGTTTTGTTGGAACTGATTTGAAAATATGAAAAATTAAGACAGTATAGTATTTAAATATATTTTCGGACTAAAGGAATAATTGAAAGTTTGTTATCGTTAGTGCAAAAGAAATTCGACGTTTGTCCTAATGGGCTTTCCGTAGGTTCACTTTCCTTGTATATTCCTTCTTTTTGAATTTCAAAACGTTCCAGCAATTTCATCAAACTTACTGGAGGTTTTTGAACTATGAATTTGCAGACTTTACACAAAACATACCCGCTATAATTCGCAGGTGAATAATTTCAACAAGAGAGGAAAACAAAGTCCGCTTTAAGTGTTGTAGCTGAACGACAGCTAACTGCTACATTAGCTATTTAGCCAATGCAACTGAGCCGGGAGAAAAGAAGTAAGAGTTTTAATTAAATTAAATACAAATAAAACCGTACTCCAAAGTCCAGATGGCCTAAATACATATGTGTTAAAAGCAGGATGGGACACAGGTCAAACTACTCAGCATCAGTTGTCATCATACTTTCTTTTTTAATCTCTTTTTACATCATTCACTTATTAGACCAACATTTCACTCTGGTCAGGTCGAACTATACCAAGAACAATCCCGTCTTCATCTATGAAAGGCTTTCTGGACAAAATCTAATTGATATCAGAGAAAATAATCCAGTGAATTCCAAAGACAGTAACATTTACAGACATCAGAAATGCAGCTTGGAGCCAGAATATCGATTTGACTGTGGCAGAGATAGAGTTCTTGGCCAAAGCCAGTGTGAGGATAGAGGTTGCTGTTATGATCCTCTGTCCAACTCTGCCGGACCACCGTGGTGCTTCTATCCCACTTTTTATCCTGGGTACAAAATGGGGCCACTCACTCCTACAGAGCGAGGTCGGGCTGCAGTCCTGACCCGCTCCAAGCCGTTCTATCTCCCCAGAGACATTTCTACTCTTAGACTAGAAATTGAAGAGAGGACCGCTGGTGTGTTGCACCTCACTGTGAGTATCTAATGCCACTTTTTTTCTTGTGATAAAAAAGGGGATTATAGTACATGAAGACATTCATTACGATGTAATGGGCTGAACCGAACTGACATGCATTCATTCTGCAGCTGAAAGACCCTTCTGTGCAGCGATATGAGGTCGAACTCCCTGATGATGTTACTCAGAGCAGAGATAAGAAGGACGTCCTCTACATCACTGAGTTTAAGTCTGATCCATTTGGTTTCATAGTGCGACGCAAATCCAACGGAAATGTGATGTAAGTCAAATAAAAGACTTGTTTCACGTTACTTTTCATAATGTGTGTTATTTACCTACAATATTTACATATACCAGAAACATGTGAAAGATATTTACTCACACTGATTTGCCCTAGTTGTGATATAAATGGTACTGGTGCTACCATGTTCATGTTTTTCGATGTAGGAACACAGTATACAATCTTAGCTAATGGTTTGTATGTATTTTGTCCTCACTGTGCAGCGTGAACACCACTGTGGCTCCTCTGCTGTTTGCTGATCAGTACCTGCAGCTGTCCACCACTCTGGCCTCTACTCTGGTGTCTGGCCTTGGGGAACACTACACCTCCCTGCTCTTGGACCTTAACTGGACTTCACTTACTTTGTGGAACAGAGACATGGCACCTCATGTGAGTCTGGTACAGGGAAACATGCATAAAAAACTAGACAAAAAATTTGTAATAGGTATTTCAGTTTTGGAAATAGATTTAATGATTGTCTGTATTTAAAATAGGAATTTCAGATTTGGAAATAGATTTAATGATTGTCTGTTGTCACTTAAGTAGTAAATTCTGACTCTGTATTTCTCTGCAGGCTGATGCTAACCTCTACGGCTCCCATCCATTCTACTTAGTTCAGGAAGGAGACGGGTCAGCACATGGAGTTTTCCTGCTCAACAGCAATGCAATTGGTCCAGAACTTTTGGATTTTCTTTGACCCTATGACTCATTGTATGATTTCTTTTTTTAATTTAACATTTATTAACTTTTGCTGAATATTTTTACTGTATCTGTAGAGGTGGTACTTCAGCCGACCCCTGCTCTCACCTGGGTCTCCACTGGAGGAATTCTGGACCTGTATATCATTCTAGGTGCCGACCCCCAGAGTGTTGTACAACAGTACCTTCAGGTCATTGGTATGGAAGAGGTTATTAAACTTGACTTTGGATATAACATTTCAAATGTAGTTGTGATTAAACCAAAGTGATGAATATCTTTCCTAAGGTTTTCCCATGATGCCACCTTATTGGTCACTAGGATTCCACCTGTGTCGCTGGGGTTACACGACCACCAACACAACCCGCTATGTAGCGCAGCGCATGCACGATGCAGGCTTTCCCTTGGTAGAGGACACCAGTGTTGTGTTTTCTTTATGGGAATATATTTGGTTATGTTCACAGTTCAAATTTAGAAAGGGGATACCGTTATTTTTAAATGAAATATGCTCTTTTCTCCCCTTAACTTTCTTTAAATTAAACAAGGAATGTATTTTTTTATCAGGATGTACAGTGGAACGACCTGGATTATGCAGACAAGCGCAGGATTTTCACCTTTGACCCCCAGCGATTTGGTGACCTCCCGGAGATGGTGGAAGAGTTCCATCAAAGAGGCCTGAAGTACATCCTGATTCTGGTGTGACATTTGATTTAACCTCCAAACTTATAACACAGATTTAACTGTCGAGTAAATGTTCCTGCTTAAATCCAGGAATGAATGATACAACTCTTCTGATAATGAAGAGTTGTAATCAACGTTTAGTATAATATATCTCCAGTAGGTGGCAGCAGATGCCGTGATCCCTTTTGTCCCTGGTTTCTATCCTAGGACCCTGGGATCAGCAGCACCAGTCGTCCTGGTACTTACCCTCCTTTTGATGATGGCCTCAAACGAGACGTCTTTATTAAAAATGTAACTGGAGACATTCTGATTGGGAAGGTTGGTGTTTGTCTTGTACTGTTACCAATATTTACCAGAACATGATCTTATAGAACAACCATTTTTAAATATTTTTGTTCTGTATATTTGCTTAAAAAATGTGATATTTGTTGTGTTTTTGTTTGTTTAACTATTCACCTGTCAGTGTCACTCATTACACCTTTGCAGGTTTGGCCTGGACCAACAGCCTTCCCTGATTTCACCAACCCAGAGGCTATACAGTGGTGGGAAGACTGCATCAGGAATTTTTATTCCAAAGTGCCGGTGGATGGACTGTGGATTGTGAGTGTGTACGAAAATACAGCTTGTATAAAGCACAGTAATAATACAACACAAATGTAGTTTATATAGCTAAAGAATTGCAGTGAAGACCATTATAAAACAAAAATGTCACTCAGTGACTATTTTTTTTATCTACTTCGTTGCTCAACACAGGATATGAATGAACCATCCAGCTTTGTCCAGGGCTCAGTGGAGGGCTGTCCTGACACAGGTCTTGAGAACCCACCGTATACACCTAGTAAGTTACGAGTTAGATCCGTGCTCATTTTCCCATTTAAATATTCCCAGGTCATTAACAGTCTCTGGTTTTAATGCTAACAGGAGTAATCGGAGGTCAGCTGAACTCAGGGACTCTCTGCATGTCAGCTCAGCAGAAGCAGTCAACTCACTACAACCTGCACAATATGTATGGACTGACAGAAGCGTTTGCCACCAACAGGTTTGACTAAAGTGAAGTGGTAGCAGTTAATGCAAGAGGGTTACAGCACACTATGAAGTAATAAGACATACCAAGAAAACAATGTTACTGTTTTACCAGATAAATTGTAACATACCCCCTCCCCATCCCCCAAAGATTGATAGCTAAATGAAGACAAATATACTCCAAGTTGTAGGGTTGTTTTAAATCTTTTTTTTAAATTTTACTTCAATGTCAATCTTAGAGCTCTGATGAAGATTACAGGGAAGAGGCCCTTCGTTCTGTCCCGCTCCTCTTTCTCCGGCATCGGACGTTTCTCTGCTGTGTGGACCGGTGATGTCAGGAGTGACTGGGAGCAGCTCCGGTTCTCCATCCCTGGTTTATATGTTTTGAATGAACTAAATCATTCTAGATTATTGAATAAACGGTATTTCAGCTGAACTGTTTCCACCTGCCTGCTTCCAGCTGTGCTGCAGTTCGGCCTGTTCGGTGTGCCTCTGGTCGGGGCAGACATCTGTGGCTTTGGAGGCGACACGACTGAAGAGCTGTGTGTGCGATGGATGCAGCTTGGAGCCTTTTACCCATTTATGAGGAACCACAATGACAGGCCTAATGCTGTGAGACCATAACGTGTTTGTTTTTGACTGTGTGTGCTCCAGGAAGTACATTGGAATGCTTGAGTTATCTGTGCAACTGAAGATGAAAGTGACTGTTTCTCTGTTCTTCCGAGTAACCGTATATCTGACTATTGTCTGTGTGTGTTTCTTTGTCCTTCAGCCTCAGGAGCCGTACGTTTTTGGGCGTGAGGCTCAGGCTGCCATGCGTAGTGTGTTGAAAGTTCGTTACTCCCTCCTCCCCTTTCTCTACACCCTCTTTCATCACGCACACACCTCTGCGGACACTGTGGCCCGGCCTCTCTTCATGGTGTAGGTATCACATACACAACAGCCAAATTGAAGGTTTAGAATGTAACACTGTGACTTGTAACATGTTCAAAAATCACAAGTGCTTTCCAACAATTCTAACAAGACAAAATGATTCTTGTACAAAGATCGTCTGAAAAATTGTGTTTTTTTCTCATTGGTCCATTCCTTAGATTTCCCACAGACCCTGACTGTCAGACTATAGACCGGCAATTCTTGTGGGGGACCTCACTTCTAATTAGCCCAGTATTAGAGCAAGGGGCTGCACAGTTGAATGCTTACCTGCCCAAAGGTACTTGGTACAACTTTTATAACGTAAGTAGTTCATCCCTATTAAACACTACTTCTCTCAGAGCTGTTTAAATGTGGCATGAACTCTGTTGTTTCTTGCTCTGTAGGGTGAACCCTTCTACAGTAAGGGTCAGTATGTACTTCTACCTGCTCCTCTGGACACTATTAATGTACATGTGAGAGAGGGACACATTATTCCTCAGCAGGTGGGTGTCTGTGTGGTATACACCAATTGTACTCTCACTTCTAAGACCATTGTTTATTTGATAAAAAACATGATGAAAATCACAGGTCTGCTCTTGCAGTTAAGGTTCACTAGTGAAACCTGTATTTGTGTGTCACAAATTATTTTCCTAATTCATTTGTTTTGTTCTTTCTGTGTAGGAACCTGCCTTAACAACCACAGCCTCACGCAGAAACCCTTTCTTCCTGATGGTGGCACTATCATCAGGCGGTCAGGCCTGGGGCGATCTGTTTTGGGATGATGGGGAGAGTCTTGACACCTACGAAACAAGAAATTACTGTCACGTCACTTTTGCAGCTGGACAGGTACAGGAGATTAAGAAATAAAATGATGATGTGCAGCATTTTAAATTTTACAATAGTTCAGAGTCAAAAGCCTTTTAAATTACATTTTACTTTTGTTCCACATCAGTCTCAGATTGTGAGTGATCCTCTGAAGCTGAACAAGGCCCTGGATGGGCTGGTGCTGGGGGGGCTACGAGTGTTTGGGGTGCCTTCTGCTCCACACTGTGTTTTGGCCAATAGGGTTAAAGTCAGGAATTTCACGTACCGAAGTGACACCAAGGTGAGTTCTAAGTACTCAACATGGAAGCTGTCCTTGTCAGAAGGGAACTCTCTTTTTTAAGAGAGCTGTTATGTGTTTATCCTTCCTCTATCATTAATTTTAAATAATCTTGTCTTCTGTGTTTTTCATCCTCCAGGTTTTGACAGTAAGCAACCTAACCCTACCCATGTCAAGAGCTTTTACAGTCCAATGGATTCTCTGAATAACTAAACATTATTGTCTATAGACTGGGAATTGGAAATGAGAAAATATTTATTTTGTCCATATGTATATTAATATTTTATGCGAACAATGCTCATATCTACAATATAATTCATACATACAATTTTTTTATTTTATTTCAGCAGTACAACTAAGAGAAACGGAATGTTTAGTCCAGAACTGTAATCATAATATCATGAAATTGATATGCAATTAGCCTAATTAGCATGATACCAAGAAATGCAATTTCTACCCCATACATGAATTTATATTAGCTAACAATTTGTGGAGGGAAACTGTTCCTTAAAGCTTATGTAGTCGACATAACGCTTATCTATATGAAGGTTTCAAAACAAGAAAGACCAAATACCTAAGCTACATGTTAGCATCAACTAATAGTAAATTAGTAAGAAAAAAACTGAGAAGGTAGCCTAAAAAGCGCGAAATGTGTATTGTATCATAATCCAAAAAAATTGGATTATAATAATTACAGCGAGTCTGTTGAGGAAATGGATTACCCGTGGTTAAAATTAAAGTACAATTTGTTAACGTCGTCATTTTACAATTAACAATTCTAGATGTGAGTTTTACTTTGAAAAGTTTGACCGGAAGTGCAGCTGATGCTGTGGAGCAGCGGTGTCGGGCGTGTGTGTAGTGACTGTGGGAGAAGAGGTGGACACAGGGCTAAAAACACACAGGCATCTAAACTAAACCCCGCCAGGAGACGTGAGACGTGCTGTTGTCCTGCGTCCCCGTGTGACCGGTGACATGGATGTCCGACGCGGGCTGTAGGCTCCTGCTGCGGGACTGAAGGTGAGAGCTGTACAAGCGCCTGCTCCCGGTTTTCTGGTCCGTGTTGTTCGTTTGTATAAATGTTCATATCACCTATTCATTAATTGCAGCTGGTGACAAGTGAACGTTAACGTGTTTCTAGAAACATCTGTCATGGCTGTCCTCTTCGTTAGCGAGCAGCTGCTGGGTTAAACAAACTTCTGAAGTGTACCTAGCCCAGGATGTTGGCCCTTTTCAGAGGCAGCGGAACCAAAATGATGAGGGGGATGTTCAGGGAGGAAATGAAGGACTTCCATGGCCAGTACCATCACGGTAGATGTTAGTGTCGGGCCTGAGTGTGTGTTTGTGTGCAGTGTAACGCTGCGGTGATAAAAGCCTCTTCCATCCTCCCCTCTGCACCTCCCGTCAGGCGGATGCTGACTGTCAGACACAGGCATGGGACAGAATACGGTATTACCGTGGTATGAAGTATCTCTTAAGAACTGGTGATTTTTTTCCTTATTTGACATTGTGGTGTTGAATTTTGATGTAATCTCCAAACTGCCTTATAATCATAATCATCTTATAATGTTTCTGCTCTAATAGTGTTATGCTGAGAAACACTGTTTACTCTAAAAAAATTGCCTCTACATGGACAGAGGCGTCACACTATTTCATTTGTGAACTGTTGCCAAGAAAGTTTGAGCCAGTAAAATAAGCCTACATTATTATTTATTTTATATTTAGAAGTCCAAACCAACATGAACCACCTTCCAACAAGACAATTCCTTCTTTTCACAGTACAGGTTTTACAACAATATAATGACCCATATTGTACAAAACAGCTGTAAATTGATGTTTTTAAATTATTAGGTATTCAAGTTCTTGGGCAGTGTTTTTAAATGAATTGTATTCTTTTGGAAGTTTGAGTGACCCCCCGATCCCCACCCTTCAACTTTACAATTCATGTATTTCTGTACAGATTTCAAATGGCGTAAATAGTGCAGTATTCCCTCAACCAAAATCAAACAAATACATGATGTGTTTTCTTCAGTTACTTTTTTCATAAATTCTTGTTTTTCTAAGGTTTAGACCAACCTATATCACAGTCCAAAGAGAATAGAACAATATCTTTTGTGTCAATAGAGTCAGATCCTGTGTAGAGAACCCTGTTTTTCAGGCTTTTTCCATTTAGATCGTTTTTCTTCTCACTCTGCCCCAGGCACATATACTTTATTCTTTTTGACTTAAAGTATACTTTACACTCTACAAGTGAGTGGGTGTTCTGTGTTGACTCATCCATTCAAATAATGGCTGACAACGAAATTAATGTTGCCCAGGGCTGAGAAACTAAGACCCTGAAAGTTTTTGTAGTTGTTTTTGATACCTGCAACTTTATTTTTACAATGTAGGTTTTGTGCTCTTTTTTAAAATCCGTTAAATCCATTAGTATAAAAGAATCAATTTTCACTTTTGTTTATTGTCTTTGTGTGTTATGAGCTACAAGATGAACTCGTGACTGGGCCTTAGTCTCTTTTGGATAAAAGAGTAAAAGGCCAGAGTGGAGAGGCCCAAGTCAGAGCACACTCAGGTGTTGACAGCATAAAATGATGAAGTGAGACGTAAGCAGCTGAAGGAGTCTGTGAACAGGCTGTATAAAAGTGACCCGAGTCACACTGTAATCACACACCGACAAAAATAACCACAGGATAGTGGTGTTAGCACAGCCCTGAGTCTGTTGCTGTATATAAACAGGTGTGAGGACCAGTTTGCAGCACATTTATTATTCAGGCAACAACTTTAAAAAAGGAAACAAATGTTTCATATTTACAGTCAGAAATCTCTAAAAAAAAAAAAAAACCTCCATCTTTAGTTTATCTAATTTTGGGATTTTCTCATGATAACTCACACAGAATTATAAAAAAAAATTAAACTTGCTCATGTTTCGAATATAATTTGGGCTACATATCTCCTCTCCCAAAGTAAATAAATGTATCTTTTAGTACCTAGTAGTTGTAGTGACAATTTAAGTTCCTATTGTGTTAACCTTTTTTAAAACCTTTGTTTTTTTACATCATCACCATCACTAATCAACTGTCTGTATGTGCACTACTGCCACCTACAGTCTGGAGTGTGCATCCGTTTTGCAGGTGTATTTTCTTTTTTGTTTTAATTAATCAATATTAACACCTTAGCGTCCCAGCCCTGATGATATAATAATAGCGCCATCTGTGGCAGATGTGTGTAGTTTTGGTGACTTAGTGCATTAGAAAACTAAAGAAAAACTATATTAACAAAAAGCAATACTTTAATTTAGTCCCTTTGTCTGTGGCTCAGTGCAGCACATCAGCACCTGTCTGCTCAGTTTAAAAAATCAGCCACAGATGCCACAACCCTGTCCAGATTACTGAACTCTGGTTGAACTACTCACAGCTAGCGGTGTGAGAATGTGTCAACAGTTTGGGGCCACTTTGGATTTGGTCCCAGCCGCTCCTCCTGCTTGGGGCCTGGCATCAGGAAGTGGGTGCCTGGTTAATCAGGGGAGCTAAACAACATGCCTCTGTAAGGAGGAGCAGGGGAGAAGAGAACATTCCTCACATGTAGCGAGGAGAAGGATATTCTGCCAATGTGGATCAAAGTGGCACAAGTGAAGTCGATCCAAGAGACACTTTTTGCGAATGTGGTAAAATAATAATGATCCAAGTTTCACCTGAAAACTCTGATCCTTTCAAGGCCTTTTCCAAACAATCTGAAGATGGAGGGTTAGGAGAGATGTTTGCTTTTTTGTTCTGTGTTTTTTTGTCTAATCAAACAAGGAAGCAGACGCTCGTTGATGACACCTGTTGGCTTCTGATAACTGCTTGGAATTTCACACGCACGCAGCAGAGTGTGTTTGCTTTGCGAGTGTATTTACGTGTGTGGTTTACAAAAGGAGTGGTGCACATTCGGCAGTATATTATCCACTGTACCTAATGTGTAAAGTAAATGTGTGAGGAGGTGCAGGTGTGTGCTGAACTTTGTCCATCTTAAATTTAGAATTTTTTTATGTAAAAAATGCTGTATAAAAGCAAGTATTGTCAAAGGTACTTTATCTTTTGTCTGTGTAAACAGTTCAGTTACAGTTATTCTCAATTCTTTTTTTTTCTCCTGGTAAATAGCTGCTCACAACTCACAAATCTGTCTCTCTCCTTTTTAGATTATATAGCTATCTTTCACCACCTAGTGGAAGGGTATTTATTTTGTTCTGAGTCACTGTGACATTGATAATTGAGGACAAATTATATGCAGTAAATAAATAATAGTTTTCAGAACACTTTGGTGATCATTTTCCAGAACACACCCATGTACCACTACACAGTTGTTGGGAATCACTGTCTTATCTTAAATTCCCACATTCTGCTCTTTTTTTAAATGTTTTTTTTATAAAATATCATCGTCATCTATCTTTCCTTTCTTCCTCAAAACTGCGTTCTTTTTTGTCATCTCCTCTTCCAAGGATGGGCCCAGCGTCCTCGTACCTGAGGAGATGTCTCTGGGTCGGCTGCTGCGGCGTGCCTCCTCCAAGGCCTCGGACCTCCTGACCTTTAACCCAGGGGCAGGAGGCTCAACGTTGCGCTCGGGGCTTGATGGCGAGATCATCTTCTCCAAAAATAATGTTTGTGTGCATCCTGCAGAGCCTGTGCCAGGTCTGGCTGAGCACCACCCAGGTCAGATTGACTCATGTGGAAACTACCTTCTCTGTGAACACAGTTTACTCACTGTTTATACACTTTTATAAATTACTTGTGTTTTATTTCTGCAGCTCCTTCTCAACCAAATCTGTTAATTGTTACATTAACTTTGAATCTTTATTTAATTTAAGAAGTGTATGTGTTTTCTTAAGACCATGTTCGTGGTTCTTTGGAACCAGACCCTGCCAGTCAGAGTTGTGAATGCATTTCTGGGTAAATTAAAAAACTACTTACAGAGAGGATGTGTGTCGTACAAACACAGTTTGTATTTTTTTTGTTGACCTTGTCTGTGTGCTCTAATAATCTAGGACTCACTCTTCTGGTTTCTCTCCGCGTCATCACCTCTGTGTTTGCTCCTCGTTTTTTTGGTTGTTTGTTTTTTAACCTGCTACCTGATTATTCTCAGAATAAAATAATTGCCATTCATCACCTCTCTGCTCTGCACTGCCTCCTGCAGGTTATCTGTGCATACATGTGGAGAAGGACGAAAGCCTTGGCTCCACTCTGATACTGACCTGGGTACCAAATTCCCGCATCCAGAGGCAGGACGAGGAGGCTCTGCGCTTTATCACCCCTGAGAGCTCGCCTGTCCGGAGAAATGCACGTCGACGAGGCAGACGGTGGGGAAGGACATTTTCTAAAAAGTCTGTTTTCAATAAATCTAATCATTTTTAAATTGTGATTATTAGGGATGTCAAAGTGTTAACACATGGGCAGAGCAACAGACACTGAGTATATCTAATAAGGAATTGTCTTTCTGTTCAAGCGACATACAGAAAAACACGGTTTTGTCATACTTAGAAATGTTGATTTTTGTCAATAATATCCAAGGTCATGTGTAATTCACAGATACCGTTTGGTCATTTGACAGCCCCTAGTAATGATTATAAAAGTTAAGAATTAAGACATCAATCATTAAGGGCTGTCATTAAGACAATCAGCCCATATTCCTTGTTTAAATATTGCAATTTTAAAATAGTTCCTGGATTTTGATATGATCTTATATTTCTTATTATATCACAGTTTTCTTCAAGGAATTCAAGAACAGGTTTAATGTCTTGTAGCCACAGATATATTTATATGAAAATAGTTCAAAAAGTTAAAAATCAGGCTCTAAAGTTGTTCACTGACCTGTTTTCACATCTGAAACACACACTCAGTGTTTCAGTGACACTGACAACTTTTTTAAAACAAACTGTCCTGTCCAGAGCTCACTCCCGTCCTCCAGCAGCCCAGGAGGAAGATGTAGATGAAGAGAGGAATATAACCAGCAGCACCTCCACAGACAGTCAGAGTCTGGTGCTGGAGTCCGTAGCTGACGCCTCGCTGTACCAGCAGCAGCTTCCCTCAGCTTCAGAGGAGGGAGACGAGGGCTCCTGCGAGCTGTCAGACGAAGTGAGCAGAGACAGCACCATGGGCTCTGACTCCGACACCTTCTCCTCTCCTTTCTGCTTGTCCCCCGTCAGTGAGGCCCTCTGTGAAAGCAGTGGTTCTGTCTTCTTGGATTGTGATAGCAGGTCAGTGACAACCTAAACTGATCCTTGTTAATGATCAACTTTATCACCATTATTGACATAACTGTATGTTCTAAAGGAGATGATCTCATGTGGCACCCCCTGGAGGTGCAGGAAAAAAACATGTACAGTATATGCATGTATTTGTGATGGCATTACCCCACTTGTCTACTAAAAACATAGAGATTGAAGTTACAGTAAGCTACATTTTATTAATGTAAAAATATAATTTACAATGGAATACAGTAAATTCAAGTCATCAGAGGAAAAATAACATACTCGTGTGATATGACCAATGACAGTACACATTAAAACATTGAGTGTATAGTTAGGCAAACAATTTTGGCTGGTAAAAGTAAGAAATTGTGTTTTTATTTGTATAATATTTTTGTTCAGAAATAGAAAGAAGTTAAAGGTTAACATTGTTATTTAACTCTGCTTTTTTTTAAAAAAATCTACTTTATTTCTTCGCTTTCTGTTTTTTAGTGTTTTTATGTTCCTGGAAGTATTGCTAAAGTGAATTATCACGGTGTCATTGTTTTCACGTCTTGCGTATGTAGTAGCGTGCCCTTGACGACCACAAGGTGGAGCCAAAGAGAAAATAATTTCTGCCTGTAGGGTTGTTCACACTCTTTGGCCACACGGTGGCTTCCTGCACTTTGGTATCCAGCAGGTAGACGACTTGAGCAGGGTCCGTGAAACGTTGTCAGACTTCAAAGTAGGTTGACTTATTCGGAGCAGAGATGCGGTGACGTGGTTCTCGACGTCACAGATGGTGCAACACAAGACCCAGAACCATAGAAAGTGGAGAAACCCGCACTTTCCGCTGCGTTTTCTCTAATCAGAGCGGCCATCTGGACAGTGACTGTGGTGCTGTACCGAGCTCAGGGCCATTTGACTTTATGATTCCCCCCGTGGTCGTTTCCTCACGCAGCTATTTGGCCTGACATGTTGCCCAGAATGTGCGAGCCTGTGTCAGTGTGAGTCTGGGAGAGTGAGAGAGTGAGTCAGTGTGTTCAAGCCTCTTTTTAACCACTCTCAGACCTCAGCCTGCTGTAAGTGCAGTCAATGTGTGACTTGGCAGTGGACTAAGCTTCACAGCTTCTAACCTTTCCTCCGTCCTTCTCTTCCTCCACTCGTTTCCTCTCTCTGACCCTTCACATCCATCTGCTCCACGGCCTGCTCTCTTCTTCGTTTGTTATGTCCTCTGCTTTTCTCCTCTCTTTATTCAGTAATATATTTTATTTTTCTTAACGTCCATCAGTTCTTTTATCTTTTTATTTCTAAATATTGTTTCTTTCTGGGTTGCCCACCTCTCAAATATCTCACCCTCCTCCCCTTCTCTTCCTGAAGTCTCTGTGAAGCCCTTTGATTCCCAGTGCTCCCGGGGATGTTGTGCTGGGCTGAATGTCAGCGCTCCGGATTAGAGGACTGAAGAGACCGGAGAAGCAGCCAAAACCCTGGAACCCACTCAAACTTTCTTTCTCTCCCTCTCTCTCTTTCTCTCTCTCTCTCTTGCTTTAATTGACACTGTTAAGGGGCCAGGAACTGGAAACATGTCACTTGGAATCACTCAAGGAGAAAGAGCCGCGTTTGGGAGTGGAAGAACAGATGAAATAGTGGGGGTGTGGCGGAAGGGCGGGTGTTGAGAAAAATCCACCAGCAAATTCTGTCAAGTCTTTTAACCATTTTCTTCAAATTTAACGTGGTTTTGTAAAACACGTTTCATTGTTTTACTGTGTTGTAAAGGCTTCACCTTCTTCATCTCCATCTTCATCATATACCATATATATTCAGACAGATTTTTAATATGGTAATCAATCCAAACATTTATTTATCAAGGTCAAAGAAAAGACTCTTGGCAGGGATGTCAACAAAATCTGGCTTGTGACCTAATTTTAAAATGCCTAGGCCAAAATGTTGAAGAATATGAAATATCTTATATATTTTTTCATAACCTGGGGATACTTTTTTTTTTTTTCAACAGAGGGTTGTTCAAAACACTGCTTTTAAACTATATATATGTGTTTTGTTAAGATTACCTGTACTGCAATACTATACCCACAGAGTACTCTCCTTCACCTGAGTCCTTCATCATCTCTCCATTCCCTCAGGGGAGCATCTAAAGTTCCCTCACAATCCCTGCAGTCCTCCAGCACTGTCCTGGTTCACAAGGTGACCTGGCAGCACCTGGTCCCCGGGGGTAAAGCTTCAGGGCAGTTTAATCTCTTATTGTCCTTTTGGGACACACTGGTGACAGGAGCCGGGCTTGTTTACATAACGTCTGCCTACACTACGGGCACAGAGCCGCGCTGTCGACACCGACGGACGTTGTTAATCATTCGTAGACTTTCTGCTTGAATGACCCGGGTTCAGCGCCAAGAAGAGAAGAGTTGTGTGATTTTATTTACCTGTAGAAATGTTGTTTGTGTGAACATAAGGCAGTAAACCTCTTCTGTAAATGGTCTCATAAACACGACAATATTCGGCTTCGTGAAAAAGCGAGTGCAGGCGTCTAGTAAAAAGAGCTCATGCACAGTTTTTGACTGCTTAACTCTCTTAACAGGCTTCTCTGTGGATCTGTCACAGCCTCCCCCTATGCCACAGTCTGGCCTGTGGTGTGATACATGAGACGGAGGGCAGTAAATCAGCAGATAGCAGGGGAAACTGTGCAGCTTGGATTGATCAGCCGTGTTATTTTCCCATCTGCTAACGGGGAAATGATTAGCCAGACATGATTGATTCAGGGTGTAATGGATTAGACCTGGCCTGCCTCCCGTGGCTCTACAAAATACCAACATGCCACGTGTGTTTGTTACACTGTCATAAAAGAGGCCTGTTATATAAGTTTCCTCCTTAACTTCTGACCTTAATCTCTTATTGTCCTTTTGGGACACACTGGTGACAGGAGCCGGGCTTGTTTACATAACGTCTGCCTACACTACGGGCACAGAGCCGCGCTGTCGACACCGACGGACGTTGTTAATCATTCGTAGACTTTCTGCTTGAATGACCCGGGTTCAGCGCCAAGAAGAGAAGAGTTGTGTGATTTTATTTACCTGTAGAAATGTTGTTTGTGTGAACATAAGGCAGTAAACCTCTTCTGTAAATGGTCTCATAAACACGACAATATTCGGCTTCGTGAAAAAGCGAGTGCAGGCGTCTAGTAAAAAGAGCTCATGCACAGTTTTTGACTGCTTAACTCTCTTAACAGGCTTCTCTGTGGATCTGTCACAGCCTCCCCCTATGCCACAGTCTGGCCTGTGGTGTGATACATGAGACGGAGGGCAGTAAATCAGCAGATAGCAGGGGAAACTGTGCAGCTTGGATTGATCAGCCGTGTTATTTTCCCATCTGCTAACGGGGAAATGATTAGCCAGACATGATTGATTCAGGGTGTAATGGATTAGACCTGGCCTGCCTCCCGTGGCTCTACAAAATACCAACATGCCACGTGTGTTTGTTACACTGTCATAAAAGAGGCCTGTTATATAAGTTTCCTCCTTAACTTCTGACCTTCATGGAAACACAAAGGAGATTTTATAAAAGCTTGTTTGGCTGAGAATTTAAATAGTTTCCATCTTTAAAAAATTAAAAAAAAAATTGTTTTGTCATATCTTCCCACATCATCCTCTTCAGGATCCTGGTGGAGTTAGAACTAATCCCAGCGGTTGTCAGGTGTGCCACATGCTGAGCACTTGTACATGTGAGCTGAATATAGAAAACATTTCATAATTTCCATTAAGCAGAGAAGATATCTATTTTTTGGATCCATGTTGAAAGAGAAGCCGTTCAGTAAAGTTTCAGACGAGACTCCAGTGGAGTCTTAGCTTAATCTTCTTTGGTCTTTCTGGGTCCACAGCCCTGGAGTCTTACTGGGACGAGTTCCAGGGACCGTCTTTCATTCATAGTTCTAAACCATTCACTAATGTCAGCCCCTGATTCGTGATAAGTGTTTTTGTTAACTGTCTTTGTGCTTTTTGCACAGAAAGGAAAAATGGACATTTCTTTGCTCAACCCTTGAACCCTGGTCTACAACATGAGCCTCAGCTTTAACATTTCATTACTTTGAATGATGTCAGGGCCCGGATTACTTTGTCACTTTAGGGAAGAGCAGCCGACACAGACACAGACAACACTTGGATGACTTATTACTCTTGTTATGATCAAATATTCTTTATATCTCGTACACAATAGTTCTCTTTGTTGTTGTTGTGTTGTTTGCACATCCATTCATTTATTTATACTTTGACATATGAATGTATTTATGTGTGACTGCTCTGTCTGCTTTTAATTGCTCCCCGGGGACAAAAAGAACTTCTTTGAATTAAAACTGGATTGAAGTTTTTTTTTTGTTGTTGTTTTATTTTTGTGATTACACTAAAATAATGCAGGTTTCCTTTAAAAAAAGAAGTCGGCGTCTTAATATGTCAACTAAATTTAGACATTCAGCCTCTGAAACACCAGCTGGTTTTGCACGTTTTTGTGCAGACTGTGTTTGATAGTGTTAGCGTCTCCCAACACAGAAGTGTCTGAGAGCTTGTCATGGTCATTAGCTGCAGTCCACTCATGTGTCTGAGTGAGAGTGAAAGGCGTAAACATCCCACTTAGTCAGTGTTTGTTTTAATTGCAGAGTGTGTGTGTGTGTGTGTGTGTGTTTGCGGTGTGTAGCTGCATGTAGAGTTAAGTCTGTTTTTGCAGTTTTGTCGTATTTGTGTGTTCCTTTACTGCATATATGTTAGGTGTGTGTGTCCTCGTGCACATGGGTGGGTGTGTGTGTGTCTCCTCTTGCAGCAGAGGAACCATCAGCTCAGGTTTCGGTGCCGGGAACAACGTGCTGGCCATGGGGTGTACAGATTTTCTTCTCTGTGTGTGTGTCTGTGTGTATGTGTGTGTCCTTAGAAGCCTCCATGCATTCCTCCCATTCTCCACCTTTTGGGGAACACATATTAAGACACACAAAGACAGGGCTGAGCTGCAGTAAATCTCACATGTCTGCTCCGTGCTCACTGACCACTCTCTGGTGTCCACTGTCTACACAACATGTAATAATGTCCCACGGAGATGTTTAAGACAGAGTAGGAGACACTGTGTGTGGACCACATCTGAAGTCACCCTTATTTGATTTCATGGAAAAAATGACTCATTTTTTCCTATTAAAAAAATCTAACAACACATGAAACCCATTAATATATTTTTTTTTACGGTTGTTGTTTTACTAGAGAGCTGGGCGAGGAGACCATGACCCACTCCGCCAGCTCTGCCTCCAGCCTGGACAGCCACGCTCTGTCCGAGAGCTGCTGCCAGTCGCAGGGTGTGCGGTGGGAGGAGCAGCAGAAGGTGCTGGCCCTGGAGCAGTTGTGCGGCGTTTTTAGGGTGGACCTGGGTCACATGAGGTCACTGAGACTCTTCTTCAGGTCAGACATTGGTGTGAAGGGTCATCATAGGGTCACAAGGGGGTCACTACTCACTTCACTACTTTACTTTGTCTGCAAGGTGTCTTCAAGTCCAACTCAGGGTTACCTCACGTCACACTTTTTGTATCTGGTTTATTTATTTATTTATTTTCATTTAAAGTTAGATAACAACTTGAACTCTGTTCAAAGTTACAGATTGTTACAAGAGGTGATTTTAATAAACTTTATTTAGCAGCAGTCATATTGGCAGTTATCTGCCATATGAATATTTTCTTGTTATTTGAGTTATAATTTTGTCTGTGTTTTAGTATTTAAGTACCTTTCAGCTAAAGTTAAACTCTTTGGTTATTTTTGAATTCTCAATTTTCTTTATCAAAGTTTAAAGCTAAGCTTTAAAATGCATTAAGTGAAGAAAAAATGATCCAAAGATTTTTCTTTTTTGTAGCAGGCTTTTTACTATTTGTATTGTTTTCTCCTGTCGTCTAATTTCAAGGTATTAAATGCTTTTACTTAAAGGTTTAGACACATGTTTGTGGGCTGTAATATTTACAGTACACTAAAACAGTATTTATGATAGCTGCTATTGATTGTGTTGGCTGCAGTGATGATGCCTGTACCAGTGGCCAGCTGGTGATAGCGAGCAGAGAGAGCCAGTATAAAATCCTCCACTTCCACCATGCTGGACTGGATAAACTGGCTGAAGTCTTTCATCAGTGGAAATGCTGCAGGGAAACTCACCGCAAAGACCAGGTTGGATATCAAATTCTGAGTCCTGTTTGAGATCTTTCTTTTTTCTTTTTTGTTTAATCTGTTTCGTCTCTCTGTCTTTCAGGTGTCAGAGGAGAAATCCTGTATGCAGTTTTCCATTCAGAGACCCACACTGCCATCGACAGAAACACATCCAGAGGAGAGGCTTTATCGGCGGCTGGATGTCACCACTTGGCTGCACCATCTCAACCAGAACGGGCAGGTGGAGGAGGAGTATAAGCTACGGAAGGTAGGAATGTCACAGTGGGAATATCTTACCGCTTCTGAGAAGCGAGATTTTCAGTTCCAGTCCAGGGCCTTTGTTGTAGGAAGAATTGTCACAGTTAGAAAGAAAGTCCTGGACAGTGCAACATATGCTGTGGTTAGTCAGAGGCACTTGTCTGTAAAAAATAAACTAGTTAGCCTTTGGAACAACACAGTTTGTTCTCTTGATGGTCACAGGTGTTTTTTGTGTTTCTTTTCAGTCTGACTAATTAGAACTTATTTTAAAACTCCTCTCCATGAGGTGCTACTTTCGGTCTTACTCATCTTCTCCACGCTGTAAAAAAAAAAAAAAAAAAAGGCACTGGTGGTGGTCCACTCCAACCAGTGAGTCATAAAGCTTCTGTGGAATTGACTCAGATCAAGATATGCTGTCTCACTGAAATCACCCAGTGGTTGTTTGACTGTAACCATGATTTGCTTGTTGTCGAGTGTGCAGAGTGAATGCCGTTGATCTCTCTTAGTTTATTTTGCACAGCGTTTGGAAAATATAAAATGTATGCAACAAATACAAGAGCTGCGGGTACGTGAGGTGATAGTTGAACGCCTGTGGTTTTCGTCTCCCGCCTGCGTGTCCTCTCTTTGCCCACTCCCTCACTCCCTGTGGTGCTCACTGCACTTGTTTTGCCCTCTCCTCCCAAGGCCATCTTCTTCGGTGGTATTGACCCATCCATCCGCGGTGAGGTGTGGCCCTTCCTGCTGCACTACTACAGCTACGACTCCACTTCACAGGAGAGGGAGACGTGGAGACTGCAGAAACGAGGCCACTATCATGACATCCAGCAGAGAAGGTGAGGAACATATGTTCCTAACATCTGCCACAAAACAAAGACGAATGTAGTAAACACTATTTACAGAAAAAGTTAGTTACATTCCTAAAGATAGAAGAAAAGTGAAATCTGTAATATGGTGATTGGCTCCAACTAAAATTAACAGAGCAAGTAAAAAATAAATTTGTAGTTTAATGGCTTATAGTTATTTGCCAGATATTTTGTATACAAGTTAATAAATGGTAGTGGTGCTAACAGGCCAACACTTATTTTGCCGCATTCAAGTTAAAAATCTAAATACATTTTTTTTGACAGTATATTTCAGAATCTAGTAAAAAATTTTAGCAAAAAAAAGTAAGTTGTTCACTTCCTGTCCTTTTGTCCTGCCGTAAAGTTTGAAGAACATTGGCAAAGGATAGATTTTAGTACCGTTTTGTTGGGTTCTTGGAACGTCTCCTATCTTTCGTAAACAGGGAGTTCACAGAATGTGAATCAATTTAACCAAAGAGGAAGAGCAGTGTTCTTGACACGGTGAAAAAGCTGATAAACTGTCACACGGCCGCAGCCCAGGCTGCCAAACGCGCAGTCAGTCAAACATTAAACCACATGTGAGTCCATGGTGGGGTTTCATCGCAGACATGCAGCAATCAATAGGCACAATCAGGGAGGTGTAAAAGGGAGGTGCCGGGTGTGAAATAAAATGTCTCTGGAGAAATAACATGTCAGTGCTCATCAGATCATGCTCTCATCAGACGCAGCTCTAGTGCACACAGATGAGCACATGCACACGTGTCGCACTCATAAAGCCCTCATACACTGTAACACCACCAGCTAAAAGGCGTGTACTCACACACACACGCTGCAACACGTGGTGTGGTGAACATGATAATTGCCACTGCTTTCATCTGGGTGGAGCACGAACATTTAAAGGTTTTACCTTCAAAGTTATATATTTTTTTTGGACACGGGCAGCTTCCAGCATCGCTGGTTAATCATTAGCACCAAGATTACATGTCTGTGGTTTTTACTCCTCGTCTCCTAACCACACGTCACTCCCTCCGCTGCACTAGAGTAGAGAGCAGCTGTGATGAGGGCTTGTAACAGAATCAAAGATTTGAGTGCTGCAGGTGTGAACCAGAAGAAAAAAAGTGATGGAAAAAAAACTGTTTATTTGAAGCTGTCATCTTGTTTTTATCACCTCTGTTTTTATAGATGTTTAATGGTTTCTTTATTTTATTTATCAGTTGTGCTGGCATACATCAGGGGAATTTGAATAAAGAGGACAACCAGATAATAAGCAAGTCACTTTCACATGGAGGTTGTTGGTGTGATCCCCACTTTCAGTTGTCTATATTCTAAGGTCATCTTGGGAATAATTTAATTTAAAAAATGAAGGAACCACAATTTTGCTACTAAGACTACCAATGATAATATTAATAGTGATTGTCTAATATATAGGTCTTGTATGTTATTATTATTATTAAAAGCATCCTAAATAAAAGCCTTTTCTATCCAAAGGTCAGACATGCAGTTTTACCTCATCAGCAGATCATTTCTGATTCCAGTTTTCCTTGTGTTCCCTTTTTCATAGCTGATCAGCTGTATAGATATCTTTTTATTGCCCGTGTAAAAAGTTTTATTGACATTTTTGAACATTTACAGAATGTACGTTCCATCTTGTGTTAGCACAGGCACTCTGGCCTGATTTTGTTGTTTTGGATTTTTATCAGCAATATTAGCAATATATAATTTTTCTATTTATTTTTTTGCCCTGCAAAATTTGAACCTTTGGTGTTTTTTGGTTATTAATTCAAGTTTCACGTTCACTCACAGTTTGGTACATTTTCTCCTCCGTGGTCTGACTGACAATACTTTTATTATGCAGTTAATAAGTATATTTAATTGCAGTGGATTTTTATGACACCTCGTTACAGTCTATACTATCACAGCAGGAGCATTTGACCCTTGGGTATATTTACATTATCATATCTTTCTCCCTGGGTTAGGTGCTTGTTATACAAGTTTTATGGTTTATTTTTATAGCCTGTTGTGCTTTTCCTGTTCATTTTGGTGCTTTAAAAAAAAAAAAAATCCTGTGGAGAGACAAATCACAGAGGAGCTTAGCCTGTCTGACGCTCTGTTGCTAGAGTAACAAATTAGCATAACCCTGGGGCAGGCGGTGTTTTTGCTGTAATAATGCTTTAATATTTAATATTGTTATATGATCCTACGTGTGTTGTGGCTGAACCCTCTCAGCCTCAGAAACATAAAGTGTTGAAAACACACAGTGAACTCCAGAGCAGAAACCTCCAGAGGGAGCAAGGCGGGAGAAAGCGGCGGCCAATGACACAAACACACCACAGTGAAACTAAACAGTTGCGTGGCATTGCATCAGGTGTGTGCTTATTATTCCTGTTGGGGCCGCGTGGAAAACAAACAGTGTTAATTAAATCCCCTCTGCTTGTTAGGACTTGAGTACATTAGTGCCGAGCCCAGAGCACATGGCTAATATAGTGGCTAACATTTAGAGGGACGGCTGGGGGTTTATGGCAGTGCTGTTGTATTCATAGACCTTCAGTGTCACTGCCCACGCAGTAGTAACATTCAGGGTGGACGTCTATATTTTTTTATGTTTAAAATAAGAAAACAGCTGCATTTTTTTTAAACATTTATTTTCTGTCCTTTACTCACATCCTGTCTCGTTTACATGTATTCTTTGGTTCAGGTTGTCAATGAGTCCAGAGGAGCACAGTGAGTTCTGGAGGAAGGTCCAGTTCACTGTAGACAAAGATGTGGTGAGAACAGATCGCAGCAACCTCTTCTTCAGAGGAGAGAACAACCCCAACGTGGAGATCATGAGGTCAGACGTTCTTATCGTTTTCTGTTACCCCCTCGCCCCCACAACCACCTCACCCTTCACTTTTAATGTTTCTTTTTGGCCTTTTCCTCTGTTACTTTCTCTCACTCATCCTTATCATTGCATTGCTTCGGCCCAATGCACAGACATGTACCTATTCATTTCATATTCCAAACTCTTGGGGGCCGGGGGACTTAAATGAGATTTCATGCTTTATTGACTTGGACTGAGCCTGCAGAGGTCTTTGATGCATACACAGAGCTAATAGCTTTCCAAACGAGCAGCAGGAGGATTTAAACACTCTTCTTATTTTAGGGGCTGTTAATGAGGCTGTTTGTATTTGTCAAGGTTTTTTATTCCTCCTCTCTTTAAGAGATGACCAACAGTCTATACTGTTGGCTGTAGTAGTATTATTAAACAGAAAAATACATTTGTTTCGTTCTGTAAAAACAAAGACAAAAAAATGAAAGAAATCATTTTAATAATTTTGTGCCTTAATTGAAGTGCACCAGTGCCCCCTAGAGGGGGTGCTCCTCACACTTCAAAAACTGCTGGTGAAGATGATATATAAAAAATGGCTCCAATCATTTATTTATCCACTAAGGAGATTTTTTTTTTTACCCGTGGATTTGTCTTTTTATCTTTCTCTAAATAGAATTTTAATTTCCAAATCTCGCCGTCATATCAAGTTCACTTCAACAACACTTTACAACTTAATCTCTTCATCATCCTTGACTGCACATGTTGATTTAATCTCGCTGCCCCAACAACATTCTGCTTGTTCCGCACATTCCACCGCATGTTGCCTGGTCATCACCACAAACAGTATCGCGCTTTCTCGTCCACACCCTTGTCTTATGACACGTTATGTACTGTAGCTCACTACTGCTTACTTCAACTTCTGCTTTATTTCCTCGTCTTTTTTGAATGCCACTTGCCAATACTCAATGACAGACAGAACTTTCCTTCTAGGTAGGGACCATGTATATGAGAAAGAACAGGGGGGAAAAAGCAGATCATTAATTATCTCCGTAGTTACCAGGCTGGTTGGCATAGCAACCCTTAGGCAGGACTCCTGGTGTTTTTCTGGGCATTAGCAGCAGAGCGTTTGGGTGGGGGCTGACTTTTTCAGTGGTCTGGCTGAGCCCCGGGGTCGGGAACATTTTTATACAGGAGATTTAAAAATGTTTAAGATGTTTTATTGCCCTGTCATGTCCGTGCCTTTCAAAATGTTAACCTCAGCACTAAGATGACCCTGGCTGTTCTCGCCCCAGGCGGATTCTGCTCAACTATGCAGTCTTTAATCCAGACATGGGCTACTGCCAGGGCATGTCTGACCTGGTGGCCCCCCTGCTCACGGAGATCCAGGATGAAAGCGACACCTTCTGGTGCTTTGTCGGCCTAATGGAGAACACCATCTTCATCAGCTCACCTCGGGATGAGGACATGGAGAGGCAGCTGGTAGAAAGAGTCTGTGTGTGTGTGTGTGTGTGTGTGTTTGATTGGCTAAATGTCACACTCTGTCTGACATTTAGACATGAGGAAAAAGTTCCTGCTTTGCTCACAGTTACAGTGAGTTGTACTGTATGAATTTGTGGGTTTATGTTCACACCGTTGTATGAACTCTTGCCTTTTATCCAAATACTGATGAGATTAAATGTCAAAACTAGTGGTGGTAAAAAAAGAGATTAAAAAAAAAAAGAGATTAAATGTCAAAACTAGTGGTGGTAAAAAAAGATCTTAGACTGCTTAACGCAGTTACTGTGTGATCCAGCAGAGGGCACATTTTATCACAGCGCCTCATAAAAGACAAGTAATGCTGGTTAGTTTTGCTGTTAGCAAGCAAGAAAAAAATACAAAATACACAAAGAGCAGTCACCACACAGTTGTAGTGACCGGTTTAAACTAATAGAGTCGATGGATGTGTATATTTTAATTGTTAAATATTTTTAAGTTTTCTTTGAGACGTTGTGATTATCTAAATATTGTGCAGCCAAACACTAACTTCAGTATGCAGTACTTATATATCACAGAGTAAATGTTTGGGTGTGTCAGTACGATGCTCTGTGCCCACACCCAGATGTACCTGCGGGAGCTGCTGCGTCTCATGCTGCCCCGCTTTCACCAGCACCTGACCGTGCTGGGAGAAGATGGTCTGCAGCTGCTCTTCTGCCACCGCTGGATTCTGCTCTGTTTTAAACGAGAGTTTCCTGACACGGAGGCTCTGCGTATGTGGGAGGCCTGCTGGGCTCACTACCAGGTCAGGCCAAAGTCCAGCACTCTCTGCTACACTGGTTTAAAAAGAAAAAAATGATATACCAATACATGTGGGTGTAGTCTGTGATTTGAATTGCACTTGAAAATAGAGCGGTTAATCACCAGTGATTAGATTCTATTTTAAGATTACAATTAATGTAGATATGACAATGTGACAGTGTTGTTGTTGGTGACATTAGAAGACGTTAATAAACAAAACGTGACGCCTCAGTCGTGTTTGTCACAGTAGGAGCTCAGTGTGTGAGTCTGCTGCCACTCTGAGTGCATAGTGTTGCTATTGAAAAAATCTATAGTTTATGCACATTACATTATGATGTTAAGGAGACATGAGAGAAGAAAACAATTGTATTATGTACATCATTATGCCTCACCAATGTCCTATATCCAGGTGTCTGTAGAGAATGGGACAAGTTCATGACCCACTTTAGTCCATGTGGTTAATGCAGAACAATTACGTGCCAGTGATGTGTTTTAAACTGCTCTCTGCATCAACTGGTGTTGGATAAAAAATAAAAATAAATGACTACAGCCGACTGACCAGCTGCTTTGGTGAAACATTTTTCCTCAGTATTTAAGGCCTCCCTCCATTTTCCTTTCCTCTTCCTCACAGACGGACTATTTCCACCTGTTCCTGTGTGTGGCCATCATCGTTCTCTACGGGGAGGATGTGACGGAGCAGCAGCTCGCCACCGACCAAATGCTGCTTCATTTTAGCAACCTCTCCATGCACATGAACGGAGAACTTGTGCTGCGTAAGGTATCACCAAACAATTCCTGTTTTTTTTTATTATTTTGTTTTTTTTCCTCCCTTGTTAGTGAATAATTTACGCTCGGTGCCTCCTCGGAGGCAGATGAGTACCTGTACTTAAAACAATAGAATAATCAGTGCTTTATGCGTATGATCATACGACACTTGGTGTCCAGAGCTGCAGCACAGCAGCAGTGATTTACAGTGACCGGTCCACAGTGGCCTTGAGCTGCTGCCATGAGATGCAGAGGATTTATGATGTGCATCCTGGCTATTGTGTCTGTGCCTGCATCCTCATGTTTATGGATGTTGTGTTGGTACTGCTGCACAGCAGAGGCAGAGAGTTTGTGTTAGCATGCAGAACACATAACTCCCTTTTTTGGTTGTTGTTGTTGCCTGATATTTGCATCTAGAGTTTCAGGACCAGCCAGAGCAGCTTTAAGGTGATGGTGACCTTAACTTCTGTTTTTCTTATTAATATATGAGTCAAACATTTTAAAGGAAATGTATTTATGAAAATCACAAAAATATTTCAGGCTTTCATATCAAAATCTAATTTTCTTCCCTTAAATTTTTTTTGTTTTTTTTGTTTCAGTTATATGTTTTAATTTGTTGTCGATCCAAAGCTCCTCTGAGTTTTTTTCCACTGAGCATTTTCAGGACAAACTGCCATTGTCGTCCTGCTCTCCCAGGCCCGCAGCCTTCTCTACCAATTCCGTCTCCTACCCAGGATTCCGTGCAGCTTACACGACCTCTGTAAACTGTGTGGTCCGGGGATGTGGGACAGCCGCTACATCCCCACCGTGGAGTGTTCAGGAGAACACCCGGACTCTCAGAGCTGCCCCTATGGAGGCATGTCCACCCCTCAGCCGTCCTCCCCCTCACCGTCATCCACACCCTCACCTTCACCAAAGCCCATTCCCACGTCTCTGGTGGAGGGCAAGAAAGGATCCAAAGCCAGGGATATTTTCACCTTCCGTAAACACACCTGAGCAGGATCTCAGCAGGATTTTGTGCTTGAGGAGTCCTCTGACCTCTCAGTCCACTGTTACTGCTTCCTGCGTCTTGGGATGATTTTTCACACTTGAACCAATCCTTTGGTGCATTGTGAGACAGTCCCATTTTTTAACCATAGTGTTACTTCAGACATTTGACTGAACCTGTCGCGAGGATCACGATGAGAAGCTGTTTTTTTTTTCTGCGGGCAGAGCAGACAATCACCGGCCGCCGTGGAGCCTCTTCGGGTTTTTCGTCTGCTGCTGGTCTGGCTGGCATTCCCGCGTGGGCTTTGTGGGCAGGGGTCACACAAGGGTCCCAGGCGGCCAGCTCGACTCCAAAACCACGGGTCAAACGCAACTAAAAGATCCTTTCATAAGACTTGAACTGGAACTGTAAAAAATGTTACTGTGTTCTCACAATGGGATGTTTGTTTTCATATCAAACTCTATGAGCATTCCTGGTGTTTGAACCAGAGCATTTTTTACAGGGAGAAATTTGAAAAAAACAAAAAAATAACCAAAACGCTTGTTTTAGGTTCATTAGAAATTGCTGGTACATTTCAGTTTTAAATTTTTATTAAAAATGTTTTTTTTTCAATTTCCAACAGGATGTTTGCCTTTAAATCGATGGTTAAAAGATATTTAGCAATATTATATCCCTGCATGAGAGTTTCTGTCCGTATAGAGGCGACAATATATCTGTTAGAAAGTCCAACTGAGACAGAAATACATTTACATGTGGACACATTGACGGGGTCCGCACATTTCATCATCCCAATGTGATGGAAATCACTCTGTGGTTTATTTTTATCTGTTAAAGTGGCAGGGTTTTTTTTTTCTCTGACAAACAGCAGGAAGCTGACCATATGCTCTTCTTCTGATAAACTCATATGCAGAATCACTTTTAATGTCTATGAAAACAAAGGAGAGTCTGTCACAGTGAGCACAGACCAGGTTTGTTTTTTGTCGTTTTTTGAGGACATTCTGTTTTACTTGAAAATTTTCCTTTTTAAAAAAAAATCATTTCTAAGCAGGGTATTGAAAAAATCGTAAACACAGTGTTGTTTTGTTTCCTCTCTCACTCTCTTACCAGGAAAATGAATGATGAGCAACTATGAACACTTAAAGTCCACAGGAATGTATCTGTTTTCTGTGTCTTTTTCACTTCTAGGGAAGCGAGAAACACTGCTTGTGCGAATGTATGTGTGTGTGTATAAACTGGAGTGACCTCTAAACATCTGGTAATGAGTTGGAGAGCAGGCGTAGAAGGCCTCCCCTCTGACCAGTCTCTTTAATTATAGCAGTCATCATGGTTGAGACGCAGGGAGAGGAATGAA